TAGGATTTTTAAAAATATCTATATTACTGGTTGGTGTTTTAATTGTATTATAGTCAGAAAATATATGTGTACTCACATGATCTCAGTTCTTTAAATTTTGTGGAAGTTTGATTTCTGACTACAAATGGTCACTTTTGCCAAAATTTTCCATGTGCAGTTAAAAATAACATGTACTTATGCTATTATTGGGCATAGTGTTCTATATTTGTATGTGAGTTAAATGTTTATTTTATTCAAGTCTATATTTTAATGTCTTTCTGTTTTATATACTAGTTCACTAATCTTACCTTCAGCTGTGTCATTCCTTGACTGTATTCATTTTGATAGTTTTACTTTACATCAGAACTTTCTATTATATTATTTTAAAGTTTTTTATTTTCTTTTGAGCTTGTCTATCTTCTCTTTTTCACTTTTTGAATACATTGATTACAGTTAAATTCATTTCTGATAGTTCCAATATACTTGTGGTTCTGTTTATGTTCTGCTTTTTTCTTTTTGTTTTCAATCAATTATTATCATTTAAAATGCCTGTTTGTAGAGTTAAAAAAAATGCTTGTTTGTTTTTGACTGAATGCCAGACGTTGCCTATGTAAAAGTTTAGAGATGATTTGAGGCTCTTGATGTTGTGTGATTTTCTGTAAGAGATTTCCTTTGTTTCTGACAGGGAGATAGTTTAGGAGAAAATTACCTCAGTTCATGAGGATGGAAGTTACTCAAAGGCTTCAGTTCATTGGAAAAATAATGTTTTTCAAGTTATAATTTATTTTAGATTTTGAGTTGTGTTAGAAAAATATGGTATGTAAATCTTAAAATTTTAGTATAGTAAAAGATGCATTGTTCTCTTAAAATACTCTCCCTCACTTTGAACACACTTACTCAGCATTCTTATTACTTTCTGAACCAGTTCTAAAAGTCTTCTTTCGTTTCAGTTGTGCCCTGGCTGCCTCAATGCCCTGAACCAATTCAAAATGTTTACAGCAATTTTTGTCAAATAAAAACTTTACAGTGTTTTCTCACCCAGCTTCTTCACTGGATCTCCCACAGTGTGACTTCTGACTCTTCCCTCAAATCAAAATAACCAGAAAAGATAAATGTTCAGAATAGATTCAGGACATCAAGGCAGCTGTAGAAAACATGAAAGAGGACTTTCAGAAAGTGAAAAAAAATTAGGTGATAAGTGTATTGAGGGGGGTGGGCATTTTGAGAGGTGTTAATGGCAATGTGTCTTATACCATAATACATTTTAAAACTTAATCATTCATCACATATTACAATCATATTTGTTATATTCTTTCAGTATCTGAAACAAAAATCTGGTTTAGATTAGAATTCCCCTTCCGTAGACCTTAGATTCCAGTTTTCGTTAATTTATTGTTGAAAGTCACCTAGTACCTCTTCTCAGTTTTGCAGCTTTCCTACGCCTTGCTGCTGCACCTTACAACGTCATAGACTCTGTTTTCCACTGCCGAATTCCTTAAGGAGATGAGTGATGCCAAATGTCTGATTTATCTCCTTGGGTGCCCTTCTCTGGGGCTACAGTACAACAAACCTTCAATACTTTTTGAGCCTAAAAACAGAAGCTTTTTATGTTTTACCTCGTTTTATTCAGTAAAAGGTTTGATCAGAAAGGAGCTAATAGGGCCGGGGATTTAGCTCAGTGGTGCTTCTGCCTGCCTTGCAAGTGCAAGGTCCTGAGTTTGATCCCTGGTAAAAAAAAAAGAAAGCAGCTAATCACCATTGCTAGGTAGAAAAATGTACACTTAACAAGATGATGTCTACATATTTATGTACATCCAGTAATTAATAGAATTTTAGGCAGTATGACAAGGCTAAAAATGTCAGGCAGCAACTTGGAAGATTTTAGGTAGCATTGCGGCAGGAAATATACCTTGGGTATCTGAGGACTAAGCTTTTCAAAATTTCTAACATCTTCATATTTTACATCTCTATAATTCTCCAAACAGTAGTAAAAAACCAGTGACTGTCTCTGTCTCAGAGCTTTAATGTACGTGTACTTGCTTATTTCTAAATAGATAGTATATTGTCTGAGTTTTTTAATAAGAGTACAGGAACTTTATTGGAGTATATACACTACCTCTTCCCCCTTTGATTTTTCTTCTTTGATTTAAAGTCTGTGTTAACTGTGTGATCGATCTCCATCAATGGAGTAAACTTTTTTATTTTACTTCCTTTCTACTGCCTCTCTGTGTGTCACTTGCCAATTCCTTCCATAGCATTCACTGCTTTTCTCTCATTGCTGAGACAAAATAGGCAACATTCAAAGTTAAAGGGGGGAAGGTTTATTTGGCTTACAGTTCGTAGAGGTTTTATTCCATAGTCAGCTGGCTCCAAGACTGGCAGAGGGGCAACTGTTCATGGCAGTGAAAGAGAGAAAAAGCAAGAGACCTTAGCAGCATCCCCCTAATAAGAATTTTATCTTATTCAGACTACTTAGGGTAGGTAACAATAAGGCTGTCAATCCTACTGTCTTCGGGCCTAGCTGCACCATGAGTCAATCACACACTCTACATCCAGCCACCTCCAAAATAGTCTGACCATGTGAGGCTTGGGGAGACATTGAGATGCAAACCATCACAAAGTCCATACAGTCAGCCCAACACAGGATGCCACTCTGCAACCAATATGAAAGTTGTGTTTCAGTTAAGTTCAAAAGATGTTTCTTGAGTATCTTTTGGAACAAGGCATATCTAGGGATGAAGAGAATTAAAGCACGTTTCTGACGTACAGAAACATGAGGTCTAGGAGGAGGATGAGACACCTGTATAACTGAACCATAAGATGGAGTGTTACGGCCATCAGAAAGCCACTAATGAATGAGGAAAAGGTAGTGTCTTGTTGGACCAACTCAAGCAATATTTTATGAAAGATAGGACATTAGAGGTGGATTGAATGGGAGACGTGTGATGGAGACAGAATAGACGTGGGAGTTGAATTGTCAACTCTGAGTAAAGATAAATGTATTAGCTTCGTATTTTAAAAAAAGTTTAACACCAAGATGAATAGATTGATATTAATTTAGGACAGTAATGTGGTATTGAAGTGTGAAACTGACTAGACATATATACTTTCAGACCTTTATGCTTTTAGTTTTGCTGTATTTGAATTCTCATAAGAGACAGTGCAGTCATTGAGCAGTCTTCTGTATTTGCCACCCTTTAGGTGGACTCATGATAAATTTCTTGATTACTTTCCTGAGAGAAAAATCCACTGAATTTAAATAATTATTTTAGACATCCAGGAATTTATTTGTTGAATGTTTACCATCCTATCATGTGACAGACAGATAGTAAGATTCTAGGTGTCACTGATCCCCTTAAGGTGTGTTTGGAGATAGACTTTGGTAAAGACTCCTTAAAGGTGGTGATTTTTCACCTATGTATTAGAGAATGAAGAGAGGGAGTTTTGTGTAGAGGGTAAAGCACATGAGGCATCTGCATGATATAACTTGAGACATGTGAAAGCATGGCACAGGGAGGCAGCAGAGGCCAGCTGTGAAAAAGAGTCAATGCTGGATAAGCAGTCAAAAGGAACAGAGGCTGGAGAGACAGAGCTGGACTCTGGAGGGCCTTGTAGGCCATAGAGGGAGCTGGAGGCTTCATACTGAAGACAGTGGACAATTATTAAATTATTTCAAATAGGAGAAAGAATCAGATTGATGCTTTAGCCTGGAGAAAGATGGAAGAGCTGGGGATTTAGCTCAGTGGCACTATACCTGCCTCACAAATGCAAGGACTTGAGTTTGATCCTCAGTACCCACCCCAAAAAAAAGAGAGAGAGAAAAAGATGGAAGAAAATGAGATAGGAGGCAGTTTCCATGGTTCCATTGAGGCCTAAATAAAGCAATAGAATGACACCTGGATGGATACAGAGAAGAGTACACAAGAGATCAGTAGTAAACTATATGCTAAGTGACTTTAGAGCTTTGCTCTATTATTTCCTAACAGCGTTGGTCTGTGGGCCCTTGTGCGGCAGAAGTGTTTTCTTAGGATGGGAATACCACAGTGGTTGCCGAAAGAAGGAAGTAGCAGGAGACTTGAGTGTGCTAATTTCATGAGCTTCTGTTTCTTTTGACCTATACATGCATATCTTTATTTTTTAAAAAATACCTCTATGTGAGTAATAAATAGCTGACATATCCTGTGCTTTAGGCACATGAGCATAGTTTAGTATTTGCTTTAATACAATAAATAAATTCACTGGTGCCAGCATAAGATATATACATATTTCTCTTTCTTAGTTGGGTGAAATCTAGATTTTAATTTAAGATTAGGAGGAGAGATTATCTCACTGGCCCTCCCTTGCCCATTAGAAGTAACAACACTGATTCATATGCCCATTACTGTGTACCCTTGGCAATATACACAAGATTGAGTACTTTGGGAAAAAAACAGAAAGGCCACAAGGTGCTAGGATGTTAACATGTCCCTTTTGTCCCTGTCTGTCTGACTCCATCTGATGAGATAATGAGGAGAGAGTGTGGCTGATCTTTGAGGTCCGCTTGATCAAGTTGGTTTCTCTATTACTTTTGAAATATCAACGTGCCTTTACATAGAATTAATAGGGAACCCACGGAGACTCTTACTGCAGGATTGACAGGCTTGTTGAATAGAAAATGCCATTCCCTCCATCCAGTGGAGCTGCCTAAACCTTTGGAGCAGGATAGAGCCTCTCAAAGAGAGGACTGGGAATGGAGCTTTACAACGTGCTCATATGATAGAGCTGATTGGGCAAAATAAGCTTTTTTGTGTTTTTAGCAAGCAAAGATGATTACAATCAAATTTTAGTTTTAAAATTGGAACTTGCACTGGAACACTAAGTTCTTGGGAGCTAAATGGATTGCTTACAGCAGATTCCTATTACCAATTATTTATATTCAGTGATCTGTAGAAAACTGTTTCCTAAATATTAATATGGATACAAACAGGAACAAGTCCCTTTTCAACATAATTTATCTCTTGCCAACCTCATTTTCCTTTCAGTTATTATCAGATGCTTCCCAGCCTCTTGAAAGTCAGAATTTTTCTCCTGTGGTGCGAGATGTAAGTTTTAAGATTTTATTTCCTCAAAGGTACTTTTTCACACTTCTGTCTTAACTCTCCTCGTTCCTTTACCTATTCTCTGTCCCTGTCTTTTTTTCTCTACTTCTCTTTCACTCTGCTAGCTGCCAGTAACGAGCCCATGTTTGTGGAATTAAAATGTTGGATACTAAAGAAATGTCTTGTGGCGTCTACTTCTAGGCAGTGATTACATCCAATGGTTTATTGACTGATAAATATAAATATATCCAGAAACTCCGAGAGAGCAGGTAAGGACTGTTCAAATCTTTGTTTTATGCGTTTATTCTTATTTTGGATTTGTTGAGCATTTTTAAATCATCAGTGGAAGTTTTTCATATTGTTTATGTAATATGTAAATTTTGTGAATCTCAGGTCTGTAAATGGAGAAAGTCTAAACTAAGTGTTCAGCTGAAAGCTGTGTGAGTTATTTTTCCCTGGGAGTAGTGTGGCATTTTGTTGGCTATGTAACAACTTGTGCATATTTATGTATAAGGAAGGAAATGTCAAGAAAGAGTTGCCATTTCTGTAGCCTTTTGCTCTTTCTAACATTTCATATATTATGACTCTTGCTATGTTCTCAAAGGAAGATGAGCACATTCTTACTTTCTGTGGTGCTTTCAGCTTGGGTTCTAGTTAAGGGTTTGGGCTTTTTTTCTTAGTATGATGAGTAGAGAAATGAATTTTTTTTTTTTCAGCACTGGGGATCGAACTCAGGACCTTGCTCTATTTTTTATCGAGTGTATTGGTACATTTTAGGTATACAGTACAGTTACATTCATTATTGGGATTTTGTACCTTTATAGGACAGGTCTTGGTTCTCATTTTTCCCCTTGTCCCTGCCCTCCCTTCACCCCCTCCTCCCCTCCCCATTTACAAACACTTTATTTTCATTTTCTCATATTTTTTTCTTTTCCCTTATTATCTTTCCCCTACCCTTCCCACTTTCCCTACACCTTTAGCCCTTTTCTCCCTATTTCACATGATCCATTATCTCATTAGGATCTTATGTACTATTATAGTTTTTCACACCAGAGAAACTATTCAGTATTTATACATGCGTGACTAATTTATTTCACTTAGGAGTATATCCTCGATATGTATCCATTTTCCTATGAATGAATCTAATTTCTCATTCTTTATGGCTGAGTAGAAAAACCACATCTTCTTTATCCAGTTTCCAACTGATGGGCAAATGGGCTGTTTTCAACTTTTAACTATTACAAACTGTGCTGCTATAAACATAGGTATGCATATATCACTGTGATATGATTCTTTTAATTCTTTTGGAAAAATACCCCATCAACAGAACTAAGAGAAAACCTACAATGTGGGAAAAAATTTTTACCAGCTGCTCCTCAGACAAAGGACTATTATTTAGAATATATAAAGAACTCAAAACAATCAGCCCCCCAAATATAAAGACCAGATTAAAAAATGGGCATCTGAAATGAACAGACATTTCTCAGACAAATAAATAAAAGCAGCAAGTAGATATATGAAAAAATGTTCCACATCACTGGTCATTCGAGAGATGCAGATAAAAACAACACTGAGATTCTACCTCACCCCACGAAGAATGGCTGCTATCAAGAAATCAATCAATAACAAATGTTGGCAGGGTTGTGGGGATAAAGGAACAGCCCTTCTCCATTGTTGGTGGGAGTGCAGACTGGTGCAACCACTATGGAAATCAATATGGAGATACCTCAAAGAACTAGGATTAGAGGTTCCATTTGACCCAGCCATCCCTCTGTCAGTACCTTGCTCTTGCAAGGCAGGGAAATGAATCTTGAATAGAAATGAAGGGAAATAGTGAAGAAAGTAACTGGTGAGAGGTAGTTTTCTCTAGGGATTCTCACTGAGAGGAAGGTGCCAGAAAATAGTATGGTGTGCTGGGGATTTAGCTCAGCAGCACCCTGCCTGCCTTGCAAGCACAACATCATGAGTTTGATCCCTGGTACCAGGAAAAAAAAAATTGTGGTTTATGTCCCCAAAAGAAGAGTTCTCTTAGAACAGTTCTTAGCTAGGGCTCTTCTTTTCTCAATTGATTTTATTGCTCAGAATTTGAAAACAGTAACATTTCTTTGGAATATTCTGGTTTCTTCTAGTTGACTGCATTTGATTTGTGTTTTTCTTAGTTGATAGTGTGATTCTTTTATATCATATTATCATATTGATATACCATATTGTTTAAAAATAAACTTTTGTTTTTCTGTCCTTTTTTAGTACATGTTTGGAGTAAATGTTGAATACATTCCTCATAGGGAGTGAGTTCATGTTCTGAACATGTCTTGATTCTTTTTAATCCCCTTCCCTTCTCCACCTCCCTCTCTCTGACTCTAGATCTCCTTTTATGATTATGATTATGATTATTATTATTAGTAGTAGTTCATGTTTGTATCATGTAAAAATTGCATTCATTGAGGGTAGCTGGTACATGTACATGATGCATCTTTTCATGCCTCTCCCCCAGATTCTTGGTCCCTTTCTCATTTGCAAAAGATCTATCTCCCTGTTTTCTTTTATCCACTTTTATTTTGCTCTTCATTATACTTTGGATTACTCAAACAAGAGAAACTATATGGTATCTAAGCTGGTGTGACTGATTCATTTCACTTAATACAAATGTTTTCAATGAGTCTCCATTTTTCTACAAATGTCTCACATTTATCTTTCTTTATAGCCGAGTAGTATTCCATTACCTGAAGTGTCCACATTTTCTTTCTTTATTTATCTGTCAGTAGACATATAGGGCACTTCTCAGATTTAGTTATTATGAGTTGTGCCATTATAAACATTGGTATATGTGTATTTCTGTAACATGATGACTTAAGCTCTTTGTAAAAGGTTCCTAGAAGGGGAATAGCTGGGTAAATGGAATTTCTAATTTTAGTTCTTTGAGAAATCTCCATACTGATTTCCGTAATCGTTGTGCTAGTTTACATCCCCACCATTCCTTTTTCACTGTAGCCATGCCAGCATTTGTTATTATTTGATTTTTTTTTGATGATTACTATTCTTTCTGGCGTAAGATGAAATCTTAGCCATGTTTTAATTTGCATTTCTCTAAGGGCCAGAGATGTTGAACCTTTTTATGTTTATTGGCATTTGTGCTTCTTCTGAGAAGTGCTTATTCATTTCAGTTGGCCATTTTTTTCATTGGGTCTTTTATTTGAGGGATCTACTTTTGCGCTTTCTTTATGTATTCTAGATATTAATCCTTTTTCTGATTAGCTGGCAAAATTTTTTCCCATTTTTTAGGTTGTCTCTTTACTTTGTAAACTGTTTTCTGTGCTGTGCAGAAGCTTTTTAGTTTGATGTCATCCCATTTATTGATTCTTGCTGTTATTTCTTGTACAATTGGGGTTCTGTTCAGAAAGTCCGTGCCTACACTAGTGACTCCAAAGTTTTACCTTTTTAAATCTTCCAGTAGGTTGTTTATTTAAAATTTTGATCCATTTTGATTTTAGTTCAGTACATGGTAAGAGATTTAGGTCCAGCTTCAATCTTTTGTATACCGATAGCCAGTTTTTCCAGCATCATTTGCTAATGAGGCTATCTTGATTTGTGGTTGTATCTGCTCCACTGGTCTATTCACATTTAACAAAATAAGTCAACGAACTGATTTCTCAGGAGAACTGTTTGTACATTTTTTATTTGTATCTCAAAGTAATGTTTTAGTAATATAAACCATAGACGGTATTGAGATAACATACAATAACTAAATAACAGTGGTACTCCAGGAATTGAAATGGGATAGGATAATAGAGGAGAAATCTTCTTATCGGTAGTATGTACGTGTTGGGGAATAACAGAGATAAGAACACTTTGTATTTATGTTTACTGACTCACTTATTAACAAAAAGGTTCATAGTTTAGGTTTGAGAGAAATCTTGGCCTAAACATTGCAAAAGAACTTGCTGCTTAAGTACCTGGCACCAGGCTACTTCCATGGATTTACATTGAAATCCAGAAATTTTACTCAAAATACATTTAAAGAGTGACTTCCATGTTCAACCCAAAATGTACTGGGCATCCGTGGATTTATAAATATGTTTAAGGCTTGCTGATGACTTGGAGGTCACAGTTTGGAAGTAATCTTTCCAGGAGGTATAGGTTCTAACAGAATAAACTATTCAAAAATTAAAATGCTTCCTAGTATTAGTCTTTGGTTTTTAAATTAAATCCATTGTATTTGTGATTACAAATTTGTGGTTTTGACTGTTTTTGCATAACTCTTAAAAATGTAGGACAAAACAATTTCTAGTGTGGATGTAATATCCCCACTTCAGATTATTGTTCCCTTGGATGGCTGTGAGGACTAAGTAGATGTCCAGTGTAAAGTCTCCGGCATGATTTTGAATCATGTCCCCTGGGAGGTTAACACGTGAGACTCACTCAGTTAGAGTAAGCCCGGAAATGGTCCAAATATCTGCACCTCATTAGTAGTACTGAGGATTGTAGAAGTCTGTATGGTACAGCATCTCAGAGATGTGAGGGCCTTTAGCCCTTCACTGTATGAAATCTATAACAATAAGGAGAAATATGAAAATAAAATACTGGATAATGATATAGGGAACTCCTGTTTAGGCTCTTATTGTAAGTGATATGGAGAGAGGTTGTTTTGTAAGCTAGGTTTGGGGTTGATTTCAGGACAGCAAGAATCTGTTATTCAAAACACATAAAAATTTAATTATTTTTTCCTCTCTCTTTTTTTTTTTTAAACAGAGAACGCATTCAGTTACTTTCAATGAATACCAAGAAAAAGGTCTTGGTTCTTGGATCTGGCTACGTATCTGGGCCTGTATTAGAATACTTGTCAAGAGACAGCAATATAGAACTAACATTAGGTAAATAAGCCCTAATTCTTTGAAGAAGAAGAGATGATTTCATAGCATGTGGACCCTGTGAATTTTAGATGACTACCTTTTTTCTAAAACTGGAAAAATTATTTTTTGGAAATGTTAAAAGGTGTATTGGTCTTTACCCAGTGGAAGGAAATCTAAAGGTTGGATTTTGTTTTTTTCTCTTGAAATAGGCTCTGATTCGATGAGTCAAATTAAGCAGTTGGGCAAGAAATACAATATTAATCCTGTTTACATGAACATTGCTAACCAAGAAGAAAAACTGAACTCCTTGGTGGCAACACAGGATCTTGTCATCAGGTATCTGGCAGGAAATGAATTCCATATATTTTTTGTTATTTCTCTTTGACTTTCTCTTCTCCTTGGCTGCTCCTATCCTCCCTCCCTCTTCTCTCCTCTCCTCCTCCCTATGCTTTCTCTCCCTTCTTTCTTCTCCCATCCTGTCCTGTCCTTTCTTCTTCACTCATGAACTATGAATCCTAAGTATACATCCAAAAATGGCATAAAAGATAAATGTGGAGCTCCGTGAATCTCCACAAAGACAACGCATTCTGGAATCATCATTCACCTCAGGAAATGGTATCACTAGTACACCTAAAGCCCTCTTTATGCACTTTTCTATTCTTTAGCCTTATCCACAACAGTAAATGTTATTCTGGCTTCTAACATACAGATTAATAATTGCCTGTTGTGAAAGTTTGTATAATCAGAATCATTACATCTTCATTTGTGGCTGTCTTCATTCATTAAATAGTATACAAGTTGTTATTGTCTATAATTGTAGTTTACTTCATTGCTGAGCATTATTATACGAATGTGTCATTGTTATTCATTTGATTTTTGACTAATATTTAGGTTGTTCCTAAATTTTGGCTGTTTTGAATCGTGCTATGTGCATTTTCATGATTATGTATGCGCTTTCTGGTGATCTTAAACCTAAGAGTAGAATTCATGCAGTACTCATGTTTCACATATTTTGATGTTTACTTTGTGCTTTGAACACAAAAGGCTTAAATGAAACGAGTAGACTCTTAGCTGTATGAACATTTTAAGTCTTATCATGGGAGCGAATCTTGACATATAGTAATTATTGCTATTAAACAAAAACATAGATCCAGAGCTGGGCATGGTGGCACATACCTGTAATCCCAGTACTCTGGGAGGCTGGAGTTGGAGAGTCACAAGTTCAAGCCCATCCTGGGCAACTTAGCCAGTTAGGAAAACCTGTCTCAAAACAAAAAAATAAAAAGAATCTTGGGGGTTAGGGTCAGAATTTGCAAGGTCCTGGATTCAACCCCCATACCTAAAAATAATGGATATCTGACTTCTACTTACAGAGATATATGAGGTTAATTTTATACTTAAACTTGGTTTTGAAAGGTTAAGGATGAGAATAGTCATCTTTTTTTAGAATATAATTTTTCCAAAACGAGAGGAAGAAAATTAGCTGCTCATTTATAGTGATTACTTAATATCTTTCATCATTAGGCAAGATTCAAGTGGTATATTTGGAGGAAATTCTGTGATCTACAGTTTAAATCACAGGCTTGGAAAACAGATTAAATGAAAGGCAATTGTAAGTATAGGTGGAAAATTTTATATTTCTTGATATCTTTAGATATATATATGTGCTCACTTTGGCAGCACATACACTAAATATATATTCACCTGGACACTTATTGTTTCTCAATTTAGAGACTTTATGTAAATTAATTTTTATTCAGCAAAAGTTAACTAATGTATAATATCCTGCATGGCATCAATATATTTATGAAAAGAAATTCTGATTCAAACTCAAATATTCTACTCTTCTGAGTATTTAAAACAGAAAGAATTCTTGTTATCACACCACATACAAGTATGTGTGATGAATATGAAAAGTATGGTGACATAGTGTGATACTTTTACAAGCTAGTATTGATTTTTCCTTGGTATTATATAGATTGCTTTATGAAATACACAGTGTCAGTCACTTACTCAGCACTCAGGTGTTGAGACAGAATACCTGACACCCACAGCTTAAAGGAGGAAAGATTTATTATTTCGGCTCACAGTTCGCAGAGGTTTCAGTTCGTAGTTAGCTGGCTTCAAGACAGGGCAGAACGGCAGAGGTTATGGCGGAGGAGAAACAGCTCAGGACATAACAGTGAGCAGCAGAGAGGGAGCTCAGGGGAGGAGGGCAGGAGATGCACCCTTCCAGTTCACAATCCCAGCAACCCACCTCCTCCAATCAGGCTTCACCTCCCAAATCACTTTCAGCTATAAGCTCATCAATGGACTAATCTATTGATGAGTATCACTCCCCTATAATCCCATTACCTCCCCCGCAATGCCCTATCTACGACTTTGGAGAGACATCAAGGAATAATCTATAATGGGCTACTGCAGAATGTAAATGTTGTTGTGTGTCTTGTAAGGTGATTTATCATTCCCCAGATAGAATATGGATGTACTCATTTATATCAACATTTATGAAAATTAAAATACCAAAGCCAGACTTGTGAAAAACCCAATGAAAGTTAAGTTTTGGTTGCTGCTCACTTTCTTGTTCACCATGCTCTTAACCATTTTGATAGCCTGTATACTTGTTTGTAATATTAAGCCTATTTCTCCATAGCTTGTTTTTAGTTTACTCTTTAAGGTCACATGAGCCACTTGGTCTAGTTTGACTCTTCCAGGCAGCCACTTGGGAAATGTGGAGGTAAAAGAACAGCAGCTCTGTTTTTAGTAGGAAACCCAAGAAAGGAAACCGTGGAGATAAAAGGATCCATGGAATAGATTCCATTAAATTTTATAAAAATAATAGGATGGTTGCAGAGGAAGATCTGGCTTTGGGGAAATTTGGCAAAACTACTCGGAGGAAAATAACTATTCAGCCATTCTTTTTATTTTCTTTTATCAGTATGTTTGCAGTGCAGTCATCTTGGGGAGTGGGTACATGTACCTACTACAGTGTGTTTCTTTTTTCATCCACTTTCCTTTCCTCTCCCCTCTTTCCTTCCTCTAATTCCCCTCTCCCTATTTTTCTTCTGGTTGATGTTATTAATCTTAGCTCATCCTACGGTATGTCCTGTGTGCACTCATTGAGGTTTTCAGGTTCCTGTACATGGCATAGTTTTACTCTGCCTAGGTCCCCTTCCACGCCTTCTCATTCCTTGCCCTTGTTCTCTTGGAACCCTTCCCTATCACGAGAGATTCATCCCCTTGTCCTTTTCTATCCATCCTTTCTTAAAAGAGGGTCTGATCTGGGGGTTGATAAGCACTCCAAGTGGAAGGTACAGTATGACTGAGGATCCAGAGCTCAAAGGAACAGGCTTTTAATAGAGAACGACAGTAACTTCCGTGGTTCATGTGTAATGTGTGAAAAAAATTGATGGAAAAATGTGGAAAAGTTAAGTGCCGCTTATTGAGGAGGCCTTTAGATATGACAGACTGAATTATTCTGTAGTTTACAGAGTCCTTGGTCATTGCTGAGAGAATCATTTAATTATATCCGTGACTTAAGCCTGAGATTCACTGCACTTCAAGGTACATTGGAAGGACAGGTTGGAAAAGAGTTTCTGCTTAGTCTGTTTCTCTTTTCCAGCTTATTGCCATATGTGCTGCATCCTATTGTGGCCAAGGCGTGTATCAGTAACAAAGTTAACATGATCACAGCGAGTTACATCTCACCAGCACTAAAAGAACTGGAAAAGAGGTAAGTGTCAATCGTTTCCAACAAAGACGTGGCTCAGTATGTTGTTTTTGTGCTCTATCTGATTTCCATTTTCCACTTTCCAACCCGTGCCAGTGTGGAAGAGGCTGGAATCACGATCATTGGCGAGTTGGGATTGGACCCTGGTCTTGATCATATGTTGGCAATGGATACAATTGATAAGGCCAGACAAGTGGGAGCCATGGTGAGCCCCATCTGTATCCAAAAAGTCCATTTAGGAAAACGTTAAGAGGTCTCGCTTCTTGAGTACAGAAATAATCTTTCTATAATTTCGATAAAGGATTTTTGATTTATTACAACTCATTCTTGGATTATAATTTTCAAATAGAATTCTGCAACTGCACATATATACCTAGAGTAAAGCAGTATTTGTACATTAAATTGCAACCAGTTTTTAGATAAATAGATGCTGTTTTAATGTTTTGGCTTTATCATGGTGGAACTGATTCAGAAGAATTGAACTCATGTTGAATTTTTAAATAAGAAAAATGTTAATCATTAGCTCTACAGGTGTTTTCTTTCTTGCTCAGAGTAACATATGTGTAATATGTATTAATATTACTCTGAGGTAACGAACTAGTTTTGGCATTAAGGATATATGTTTGAAAACTGTGGTAACATTAAAGACTACCACAAATGTTCCCATTTATATAATTGTCCTCAATGATTTAAATAAGCATTTTCCCCAGCTTATAGTGAATCCTCCCTAATTTATTGATTTCTTTTTAAACTTGCAGGTTGAATCTTACTCTTCTTACTGTGGTGGGCTTCCGGCCCCTGAACACTCGGATAATCCTTTGAGATACAAATTCAGCTGGAGTCCTGTGGGAGTTTTGATGAACATAATGCAGCCTGCCACCTACCTGCTCAATGGAAAGGTGAGGTAGCATCATGGAGGCTGAAGAGAAACAGACCTGCAGTAACTGCTTAACAAAATCAAAACTCTCTCCCTGATGCAAAGATCCTCTAGGAATGGCCATGCTGCCCACCCCCACTATCTCCTCCTTGCTAGAATAGATCCTCTGTCCTTTTTAGGGTGCTCTCATGCTTTCCAGCAAAGCCTTTCCTCATCCCTCCCTCTTTGGCTTCTTGCAGGTTGTTTCAGAAAATATACACCTCTTCTCTACATACGGGAGTACTGGTTATCTTTCAGTGCATTTCAGCAAAACACTCACTATGTACCTGCCACACACTGGACTTTGGAAGGGACACCAGAGGCTGTTGCACTGAGGGAAGTTTTCAACCTCTGAAAGCTCACAGCTGGATGAGGGTGGCTCTTAGAATGGAGGTTTTGTTTTGTTTTTGTTTTTGTTTTTTTATTTTTGTGAGGGAAAGAGAATGAAATCTCTTTCCCAGCTGCTGTGTGACACAGCATGAGAACTGTCTGAATTGAGCATTACTTTCACCATTTTATAATAAGAAAACTATGACCGTCCAAAGTCATCAGCTGGGACTCAAACCCATTTCTAACTGACCCCAAAGCTTCTTTTTCTTCTTTTTCCAGATTGCTTTATGTCAGAAAAGGTAGACTCTGGAATAAATCACTATCATTACTTGGGGAGATTTTTAAAATCCTCAAATGCCAGCAAGTTAGAATCTTTGGAAATGGGGCCCAGGCATTCATACTTTGTAAATTCTCCTGATGATTCCATGTGCAGCCAAGTCTGTGAGCTCTGCTGTGTATCATAGGCATGAGAGACCATTGCTGATAATAACATGCAACATATTTCTTTAAAAATCCTTTTAAATACATAAAGTCTCCCCAATGAAGAGCTGAATTTGAGAACAAATAATTTAATGATCAGAGGACCCACAACTTAAAACACTACTAAACAAGCAGGATGCTTTAGGTTAACACCGGAAAGCTGCATCTAAAAGCTGGCATCCCTCACAGTGTCGTCAAAGGCCAAGCAAATTGTAAAATGCCCTGGACATCAGTCCCCGGATGTGTAATGTGAGCACTGCTGTTTTCTGTACGCTCCAATTTCATGAATCATGAAGAGTCGCGCTAGAATCTCAGTCTACCAAGCACACATTCTTTCACATGCTGTAGCCTGTCTCCTGATGTGTCTGTCCTTCCACTTTTGCAACCTTGGAAAAGAGAATGGCCTAGGTTCGTTATAAACTAATATGTGAAGGTTGGAAAAGTTCCTGCTGAATTTGGGCCAGATTATTCCCAGGAGGCCACAAAAGAGTCAGTGGAATGAAGCCTATTAGAAAGAGCAAGGGGTTTCATGCTTGTAGGCCTGGCTTTGTGTCCAGCTCTGTCATCACCGACGATGTGAACTTCAGGCTCCTTGTCTGAAGAGGACAACTGTACGTGCTTTGCAGAGTTTTTGTTTTATTTTGAAGTTTAACTTTATTAGATTCTGCCCAACTTTTTTTTTTACAATATAAGTATTCCAATTTATATGTTTCACCCCCTAAAAGTGGATGCCGGTTCCCATTGTTCTGTATCTTCAGCACACTTTGTATGCAAATTTCTTGACCCCATGAGGTCACGTAGATTGCTTTCTGTTGAACAGCATATTGACCGTTAGAAATTAATGGTCATGAGAGCTCAGCAAAAGGGAGAGGTTATTTTCAGGTAGCAGAAGTCATATTTGTTGAATTCGAAGTTTTACCCTTTCAATCTGAACTACCTTTGGAAAAAGGAGTGCTTTTTACATTTCTCTGACACTATGGAGCGTTTGAAGAGAAAACATTATGTTTCTCTTTCCTTTGCCAAAATGATACTCTATTCAAGGTCCTGCTCAAGTTTCCCATTGCACACAGTGCTTTTCCAGACCACTCCAGCCTCTGTTCGCCACTCTTTTGTCTGACCTTAATCAAAGCGATTGTCTGTGACTAAGAATATACTGGGTTTTGTACTATTCACTCAGCAGCTCAAGAGTATCAGTCTGTCCCCCAAGCTACACTGTTAAACTTCTTGAAATCTCTCTTCTACCCTTGTCCCTCCACCCGCTCTGCTACCATCACTCTGTCAAAGTTCAGCCCTGAAATAGCTGGTAGAATCCTAACAGGTAGCCAAGTGACTTCTAACTAACTTCTGCTTAAATTGAAGCCTTAAACTTTTTTGGCAGTTAGAGAGTAACCTATGAGTTAGGGTGTATCCCATTGTCCTGTATCCGTGCAGGAAGTCCCGGCCAGTTATTTCTCACTTCTAATCTGATCCCTAATAATTTGATTTCCTTCTGCATATCTGAAGACAGTGGTTTAGCTTGTCTTAGTTCCAGTCATTCTTTTGGTACTGGTATGCTTTATGGGCTGCTCTACTGGGTCAGTATCCCTGCCAAAATACTGCTCTTACCGCTCTGGAAATCAGCACAGTTAATAGTCTGTGAAGGTGGCATGGTATTAGGTAGACACACTGAGCACTGCTGTTAGTTGGACTTGGCTCAAATGAGCCTCCAGGTTGGTTCACTCAGCTTCAGTTTCTACATCAAAAAATGTGTTATTGGATGAATTAGAGATAAGGTGCACACGGCACCTCGTAGACAGAGGGGCCTGAATAAATGAACATATAAATAAATATATATATCTTGTCTTAAATTCCTTGTTACTACTCTACTGATCAAGCTTTTTGTGGTTATTTGAATATTTTTTTCTAAAACATGAAAGTGATTGTGATTCTCAGTGATTGAGAGGTGTGTGGGGGGGGGAGAGAAAGAGAGAGAGAGAGAGAGAGGGAGAGGGAGAGAGGGAGATTGGAAGACTTGCATGTAGAAAAACCTGCAACAGCTGTGCATAATGAGCATTTGTTCTGCCAGGAGTGAGTCTTGGATGTGAGCATTGTGAAAACAGGAAGGAATAGATATTCTCCACAAAAGAGATAAGTTTATCCTTCTGTCTTCGTCCAAGTCATTGCTAATATTAAAGATGATGATAAAGTTTATTATTTAACTCATGGTATGTGACTAGCAATACAACTTTGAATTGATGTCAAATGGTAATGATTATCCACCTTGTAATTTTTGGATCAGGTTGCATAGCTTACTGTCAGTCCTTCTAAATGAATCATTACCATTTGGTTTACATTTCCTGATTTTCTTCACAAGAATTTCATGAAAGACTTATAAACTAGCTGATTTTTTTTTTCTGGCTAGTAAAGCGCTGGAATATTGTGGTTTTTATTAATATGTCTTTTTAAAAATTGTCCTGACCTTGAAATAAGCAAGCAAGAATTTAGAATTTCTGTAAACTATAGAAGTCAGATGGGTGTGGAGACCCTAAAAGATAGCATTTACCTCTTTCATTGCCTAAAAAAAATCAAAATACAATTATAAGAAACTTGTTTGAAGGAAGTACAGAAATGATCTCTCTGGAAATGTCTATGTGACAGCCAGGAGGGGCTACAGGATCCTTAAATGGAAAACATCCCCACATCCTTCAGATCTACGCTGTCAGGGCTGTGGGCCCTGCCCGTCCTGATACTGGGGATAACATAACCCTTCACCTTGTGGGACTTTGGCCAGGTGTAAATGAGTTTCCATCTCCCTCATGCCAAGGCACATGTGGAACCCATCCACAAATACACTCTAGGAATTACTGAATTTAAACCAACATTCCTTTGGGAAAATTCCTCTGAATCTGCCTTTAGTTCCTTAATGGCAACCTCCCGTGGTATCACTTGGTGCAGCTTTAGAGTGCCGTCAGAGATTATTTCCAGCAGTGCAACCAGAACAAATTCCAACATTCTCAGACCTGAATGTTTTCCATTATATCAAGGACAATCACAAACCTCACACAACAACAACAACAAAATTTAATCCTTTAATTAAAACTAAAGACAAAAACCACTCCATTTTGAGTGTGCTGGAGGAGTAGTATGGACAAGAGAACAGATGAGATAACAAGAGAGCTTGGGAATCAGTGATTTAACTTCTCATTAGCATTAAGATTAGAGGTTGTGCTTATTTGAGTTTCACTGTATGCTGTTGGCATTGTTTTTCTTGTGAAGCAAGATGTCTCCTGTTCTGCCCTTCATCATCCTGAAATGCACTGGAAACTTTGACTCTTTATAGTTCCTCTATCACAGTTCCTGGCAAGTGGTAGACATTCAGGAATTGCTTGTTCAGTGAATAAGAGTGAAAAGAAGTCAGGAATTGCAAGGTATTCAACACTATTCTTGTTTTTCCACCAATTTTTGCCATCCCTCAAGTATGTAGTAAGTGTGCCATAAATGCTGGGTGTGTGAATGAAATGTGCAAGTCTAGTGCCTGATGTGGAGTTCAGAAGAGATGTAGGAGTAGAGAAAAGAGAGGGAGAAAGGGCTGGGTTGTGATGCGTGGCTGTAATCCCAACACTGCGGAAGGTTGAGTCAGGAAGACTGAAAATTTGAGCTCAACCGGGCCAATTTAGTGACTTAGCTAGACCCTCTCTAAAAAAAAAAAAAAAAAAAAAGGTAAAAAAGGTAAAAGGGGCTAGGGAAGTAGCTCAGTGAAGAGCCCCTGAGTTCAAACCCCAGTAAAGAGAGCAGGGAGGCTATTGGGGGGAGAAAATATTGTCATTTCTATTTGACCATAGAAACTATTTAAATACAAATATGTTTCTTTTAGCTTATTATTTATTTTTAAAAACAAACTAATTCAGTACTATTTTATCCAGGGGTAAGAACGGAAAGGAAGACCTTATATTGAAAAAAAAAAACTGAATACTTTTTGAGATTTGAAAGCTTGGGAAGAAGTCTTATAAATTTTAGCAGTGAAACACCTTGACTATGAGATGCTGCTTATGGCGGTTTTGCTAATTTTTAAAAACCTCTTTTGGTTTGTTTTGTGTCACTGGTATAAATAAGCTCCCAGGAGAACAAAAATCTATGACCTCCTGTGCCTTTCGAACCTTCCCCAGGTCGTGAATGTTGCAGGAGGCGTCTCTTTTCTGGACTCTGTCACATCTGTGGATTTCTTCCCGGGACTGAACCTGGAAGGCTATCCCAACAGAGACAGTACCAGGTACTCCGAGATTTACGGCATTCCATCAGCTCACACTGTGGTGCGGGGAACACTGAGGTACAAGGTAAGCAGCTGTATTTTAGTTTAAACATGTTGCCATTTTTTTATGTAAGCAATGTTTACACTTAATTTTCCTTAGTGATCAAAAAAATTTAAGGTGCTAATGCAAGTTGAGGACACTTTTCTTAGGAATCCTTTGTTTGAATGTTTTAGGAGACCCAACTCAAAATACCAGAAGTCACTTTGTTGACTTATTAGATGTGGTGGGGCAGACAGGAGGTCAGTTTTAGAAGCAGTGAGATTTGGGGATCAAGTGACCTCCCCAGGGCTCTTTGGGTCATTTCTCTTTGTCTCTCAGCCTTTTTCCCCCGGTAGTCACTGAGGTCTAAAGTCCACACGGGGATGGTGGCAGCATCTTAGCCTCCTATAGCCCGTTAAATTCATTAAGCTCAAATTTAGTTGGAATGAAAAACTGTATCTTTCCAAGTGTTAAAAAATATTATTTTTTATCATTAACTGGTGATTTATTCCTGAAGTCAGTGGAAAGATGCCATTTAGCTTTGGCCTATATTACACATTTCTAGGGCTGGAGATGGAGTCAGTATCATTGGAAATGCAGAGCCTGGGGCTGGGAAAGTGACAGGGTGATAAGGGCTGCCCCAAAACAAACCCAAAAAACAACTTCCTTAAGCACAGCGTTAAGGACTGAAATACAAATGCAAATGTCCACCGCACATTTATGATTACAAAAGAACAGTTTCAAATATTATCAAATCAAGACAACACATGGAAAAGTTTCTAGCATAGCAAACTATCACAAACTGGATGGTTTCAAACAACAGGACTTTCTTCTGTCACATTTCAGAAGTACAGAAATCAAGGTGTGGGCAAGTTGGTGCCTTCCAGAAGCTTAGTCTGTGGTCACATCAGTGTGATCTCTGCTCCATCTTTATATCACCTTATCTCATTGTGTTCTCTCTCCTCTTCTTAGGACTGAGTCATTGGATTTAGGCTTCATCATAAATCCAGGTTGATTTGATATTGAGTTTCTTAACTATAGTCTATCTCAAAGTATCCCAATAAGGTCATAGTCTGAGACTTGGGGTTGCCATGAATTTGCAGAGGACACTATTGGACCCATTGCAATGATATACTACCTAAAATACATATATCTCTCACAATCAGAGGTCTGATTTCAGATCTGTGTGTATGAAGATTCCTGGCTAGTGGCACAGACGTGATTTGTGTGTTACCCAGTATCCACTTACTGTATTATCTGTTTTCTGGAAGATGTAGGATCTATAGGCCTGCCAGTGGTGACCCTTTATTTCCTTATACTTTCAGCTTTCTGTCTCTTATCTTTAAGTAGCTGTCACCTTTGTCTGGAACTTTACCCCAATATGTGCTTCATGCATGTGGGCCTGCTCCAGGCCCTCTTTTCAGTGCGGCTGTCCATACCACACTACCTAACATTATCACTTCTGCATGTAGGGTGCTCCTTGTCCCCTCCACTGCCTGAATTAGGTGCCAGGAATTGTGGGCCCTGGGGATGGTGTTCATGTGTGAAATGGGATACCTGAAAAAAATACCGTATGAGTAAAGATAGTCCTTTTCTTTCTTTTTTTTTTTTTTTTTTTTTTTTTTTTTTTTTTTTTTTTTTTTTTTTTTTGGTATCAGGGATTGGACTCAGGACCTTGCATTTGCAAGGCAGGCTTGGTGCCATTGAGCTAAATCCCATGCAGAACTTGGTCAGTGCTTTGTCTTATTTCTGTATGTCTAAGTCCTTTTTATTCCTATATTTTTATTATACATATAAGTTCATATATATATATATATATATATATATACATTTTCTTGTGCATATTTAGGTGTCTCCCACAAGAATTTTTATCTGGGTGGTCATGTGTTCATATCTACATTTTAGAATTATCTCTGACTCTTACCTCTTTTCCTGCTCCCTTATAAACCTCATATAAGGTAGTGGCTCTTAATTAGAAGGGATTATCAGCTTTAAAAACTTCCCCTTCCATTATAAGAAAGAGCAAAGCTGACTCGTCTATTAAATAACATTCTGCTGAATTGGCAGTACATAGCTTGTGAATACATTTGCCCTTAGGCTGCCTGAAAATGCCACTCACATGGTACCCAGAAACAGAAGTGAAGACCCAAGTTTTGCCAGATCTCTTCTCTTATATAAACTGGTGAAATTGTTATGTCACTATTGACCTTATTTTGAGAAATTGTATCTATATCAATAATACAAGTGACTATTTTCAGCTGGCTTTCTAAATTAGTTATCACAACAGGTCCTGCTTAAAAAAAGCTTAAAATCTCTTCTTCTTTAGGGAAAATGTCTCATATATATCTTATTAATTCTTGATTCAGGGATATTCCAAAGCTTTGAATGGACTTGTAAAATTGGGTCTCATAAACAGAGAAGCATATCCCACCCTTCAATCTGAGGCCAGCTCTCTTACCTGGGTGAGTGACTGTGAAATGACATGCTCTCTGCTGCTTTTCAGAATGTCTTCTGAAACGGTCAGCTGTGATCCCTTCCGTACCGGATACAGGAAGTTAATTCTAACCCGAAAGTCTGTTTTCCCTTCCCTGGTACTGGAGGATGGAGAGGGCAAGGGACTGACACAACAGGTCTATTTCCTGCACTAACTTGTCCCACTGGCTTGCTTCCTGAGTCCTGAGGAGAGATGTCCTCACTCTCCACCTTGACTCTGGCATCTTGGAATTGTGTAAGTGATGACAGGAGTCACTTGGGCATTCTGAAGACAGTAATCCAGGAGAGACACTGGTATATCACAGAAATAAACTCCTGATCCTACTAATCCTCTCATCGACTATGTATATGCGTAAGGATAAATAATTTGAGTTCAAATTTCTGAATATGACTTTATCTCTGTTATTTCCAAATCTTAGGGTTTTTGGTTGGGAGAATTTTGGAGACTTGGAACTGAATATAAAGGACAGCTTTTACTAACACTTGTTACCAGCTTGTTACTCAACTTAAACCAATGTGACTCTATTTCCACAGAATTTTTTTAAAAAGTGTCATAAGGAGAAAAGGACCAATATTTTAAATTCATTTATTTTGTGTGTCTGCGAGCCTTTACAGTTTAAGTTTTACTTAACATAAATTTACTTGTTGAACAGGAGTGAGTAAATATTTGCATAGAGATGCTGGGGTTGAGGCAGTAAGTTGGAAAGATTGGCTCAGGTGTTTTTAGTGGTAACACTAGGATAATGGTAGTTACAGTGCAGAAGAGCGGTTGGTGACCTTTTTAAATAAAGGACAATATTGTACATATTTTAGACTTTATGAGTCATGCCCTCTTGTCGAACTGCTCAGTCCTGCTGTAGACAATACATGAAAAAGTGAGCGTGGCTATATTTTAATATGACTTTTATTTTTTTTTATTTAATTTTTTTTTTTTTTTGGTAATGGGGATCAAACTTGGGACCTTGCTCTTGTGAAGCAGGCAGTGGAATCACTGAGCTAATTTCCCCCCCATATAACTTTTTATTTTTAAAAAATGGTGATCCATATTTGGCCTGTGAGCCAATTTGTGACCCCTGATCTAGAGCATAGTTTTCCCTTTGGGAATGTGGAAAAACAGTCTTGTTCAAAAAGTAGAAAAAGCAGTAGCCATTGTTTAGTGTTTCTCTGAGATTATATTACCAGCAAGGTCTTTCCTGTCTCTTAAATCTATAACAAAATTCTGGTTTCTATTGGCAGTCATGGCAATAAGCCTCTTCCACTTTAGCCTGTCCGAAATTGACTGCTGGAGAATGAGGGAGAATGGGTGAAAAAGTGATGGAGAGGAAATAAGAAGGCAAGAAATATGCTAGGATTGCCTCTGTTTAGAGTTTTTGATGGCTGAAATACCATTCTGGAATACTGTGCATATGTTGGTGTGTAAATATGCATGCATGTGTTTGCATGTGTATGTGTTAAAATTTGCTCTTCCGAATTGTTTTTAAATTTAATCATTTGAGGTGCATTTAAGTACAGTGTCTTAACAGGATGAATTCTCAGCTAATTTATTTCTTATTTTATTAGGAATTTAGAATCTTTTGTCTTTATTTTCCTAACCAGAAGCAACTGCTGTGTGATCTAGTTGGGATTCCGCGCTCCTCTACCTGTGGTTCACTTAAGAAAGCTGCCCTTAAGAAACTGGGAGGGGACAGTACCCAGCTGGAAGCTGCTGAAGGGTAGGCATCCGCCACCCAATCTGAAGTTTATTGGATCAATGATTGCACGGTCCTTTCTAGTCAAAGGAAGGTCAAAATACAATGGAAATTTTTACATCTGTCTTTGATTAACCAGCTGCTCTCAGATTGACCTGCAGTAGTGAGAGTGACATGTGCCACCTCTGTGTGGGATTAAAAAGTAGATGAAGGGAGGGACTCAATGACATGTATAATCTGGAAAACACTATTTTCAAGCATTTCTCCACTCAGGTTCTGAACAAAGTGGAATATTTCTGTTTTCCTGTAGGAAATTCTGAGTATTCTCTCAATTTCTTTAGAGCATTAATTCATGTGACTGCTGTACAGCTAATTTGTATATTGATCTTCTAAAGCTTTGTAACAATGTGGGTTTACAAGGCATCCTGTCTGCTCGGCCTCAAGGAGCCGTGCCGGGGGAGTTTCAGGTCAATTCTGAAGGTAAAAACATTGCTATTTGTGTTATTTCACAATTTACTATATTCTTAGAACTTGGACAATTATCTTATGATACCTGCCCTTTCCATACAGAATTCTGTGTATCTTAATTCTTTTGTCATTCCTTTCCTTCTCCCCTGCTTGTTTTCTATTATCTATCTTTTATTTTACTCCTTTATCGTTTGAGTTTTTCAAACAAGAGAAAATGTGTGATATTTAAGCTTGTGTTTCCGATTTATTTCACTCAATAGTATAGTTTCAAGATGCATTCATTTTCCTACAGATGACTCAAATTTATCCTTCTTTAGGGCAGAATAGTATTTGAATATTTATAAATACATTTTCTTTATTGATTCATCTATTGATGGACATATGGGCTGCTTCGAAGATTTAGCTATTATAAGTTGTGCTGATATAAACATGGCTATCCGTGCATCACTAAAATATGATATCCCTAACTCTTTGGGGAAGATACTTAGAAAGGGAATAGCTGGGTCAAATGGGATTTCTAGTTTTGTTTTTTTTTTTTTTTGGTGAATATCTATACTGATTTCCATAGTTGCTGTACTAATTTATATCCCACCAACTATGTACAAGAGTCCTTTTATTCTGGAGGCCTCTCTAGCATTTATTACTATGTGATTTCTTGAAGATAGCTTTTCTTTCTGGAGTTAGTTGGAATCTCAGTGTACTACAATGAATGTGATCATTAGCAAACATGTACTAATACAAATAAAAATTAAAAAAAAAAATCCCACGGGCCCTTTGCTGCCTCTTTAATGAGAAAACATGCAGGACTTGACTAATGCAGCTTCCTCTTGTGCTTTTCAGGTTGGGTTTGCTTGGAGATGAACAAGTTCCACAGGAGGAGTCCATTGTGGATGCTCTGTCCAAGCATTTGGCTTTGAAACTCTCCTATGGTAGGCTATGGGGGTTGGCAAAATATCCCTGAAAAAGGGCCAGAAGATGGAGTCAGTACAAACAAAAGATTAGATTGTGGAGCTGGAGCCAAGAGGCTGGACACAGCTGGAAAACTATGAAACTTACTAGGAAAAAATGAACTTGGGGCCAAGTGAGGTGGTGCACACCTGTAATCCTAGCTCTTCAGGAGGCTGAAGCAGAAGGATTCAAAATTCAAAACTAGCCTGGGCAACTTAGCAAGACTCTTTCTCAAAACAAAAATTTAAAAGGCAGGACATGTTGCACAGCGCTAGAGCATTTGCCTAGCATGCAGGAAGTGTTGGGTTCAATTTCCAGTCCTGGAGGTAGGTGTGGGGATTGGGGAGTAAACTTGGGTACCATGGAAAAGAAAAACAAAACACCTTATTTTTGCTTTCAGTTTATTAGAGAAATGCCAGAGGAGCATTTCTGGGAGCAGCTGTGTGACCTTTATAGCTATGAACTTGTAACTGCATTCGGGCTTTGGTGATACTGCCCTAGACCAAGAGATATGGTCAAACTTTTAATTCCTGTAATGTTTTTCACTTGGCATTTGACCTTAAAAGAAGTGTAGATGGCTTTCTAGTGACCATTTATATTGGGAAGGGAAATTTTTGAGAGCAGAGGGACAGGGTCAGGAGATGAAATGCAATATTTGTGTTATAACGATAGTGCCATTTTAAAATGTCTTGTTTTATTTTAAGGCCCCGAAGAAAAAGATATGATTGTGATGAGAGACAGTTTTGGTATCAGGCATCCTTCTGGACATTTAGAGAGTAAAACTATTGATCTTGTTGTTTATGGAGACTTCAATGGCTTTTCAGCAATGGCTAAAACTGTGGGGTTACCCACAGCAATGGCGGCCAAAATGTTGCTTGATGGTAAGTTCTATTCACCTGAGGCCTGAGCCTGTCTCCATGACTATACGTCAGGTCGTCTGATGCCTGGACATCAAATAATGAATCTTAACCATAACACTGACGTTGCTTCAGAGTGAACCATTTTTGAAGATACCTGGCCTGGAGATAGCCTTGAATTGAACAGAGTTGGACCTGATTTCCACCCAGCTTAGTCACAAGAGAGCTGAATGGTGATGAGGTGCAAGTCACTGAGCACCTCTGAGCCAGTGTCCTCATCTTGAAAGTGGATATTGTCATCTCTAACTCCTAATGACATCGTGTCACTTCCGTGAAATAGCATGTGAAGCTGTCCCATGTCCACATAGAGAGGCCTGTGGGGAATGTTAACTCCATTCTTTCCTGCCTCATTTATTATTTTGGGGGGGAATAGCTCTGAAATAACAGAAAATCTTTACTTATAGATCCTTAACAATATGGGCCGTGTCTTGTTAATTTTCGTATCTCAACATATTATCAGTAAATAAATATTGCAGATTCTAAATGCTCCACAACATACAAAGGGGTTGCATCACAATAAATTCATGGTACTTTAAAATTATCTTAAGTTAAATGCATTGAATACATCTAATCCACTGAACCTCATAACTTAGCAACACAGTTGCTTATACACCTTGATACCCAAATATTTGGCTTGCCTGGGCCTCACTGAGTGAAGAGAAATTATTTTGGCCACATATAAAATAGATAGTATAGTTAAGGTATATGAATAACAAAACCTCATTTAAAAAATATTTTAATTAGTACTTGTAAGACAAAAGCCCAAGTTTAGTAATTAAATAAGAAAACTTACATGTTTGCTTAAAACAATGAAAGCTTGTCTTTAGAGGCACACACATGTAGGTAGGTTGCTGTGTTTTAGTTGCCATGGTCACACAAGTCCATGGAAAGTCTGACTATCTGGGTTTCAACTGGACTGAGTAAGCACTACACTATGCCCGCACCCCTGAACAGCATTTCCTTGCGGCTTACAGAATTGTACTCCAGCATCTTGTAGTTGAGTCATAAAAAAATCACAAAATACGGTGAAGTTGATGTTTGTGAGGTTGCATTGCTACCCGTCCAGGACTGCACGCAGCCTGCAGGCCACAGGTTGGACACAACTGATGTAGACTGTAGGTGATCCTCTCGTGATCTCATCACCGACTGGGAGCTGTGGCTTACCTCTGCTGCTGCCCCGCACTGTGGAGAGTATCATCTGGCATATTAACGGCCTGGGAAAAGATCAAAACTCCAAGCGCAATTTATAGTGAGAGAATATTGCTTTCACACTATTGAAAAAATCATGTCAAGCCATTAACTTTTGATGGTGTACATGATGTACAAGATGCATATACCTGTACATCCAGTAAGAATTATCTATGAAAGCAATACCTCACTTGGCCCTTGTGAATGAAGGGAGTGAAAAAAAACCCCACAGCATGTAAATGAAACAAGGAGAAAAATATTTATGATATCATATTAAGTAATGTGAAATTAAATTACCTACTGAGTTTTGGGGGAATCACGGAGTCAGCATACCCCTTAAAGAAAGTGCCTAGACCTAATTTAAACCATCCTAACAGGTCTTGTGCCCAAATAATCAGATTGGATTCAGTTCCTTCTGGTAGGAATTAGTGCAGTTAAATGTACAAATTTTTTGTCACTGTCTTTAAGTTCAGCTGTACTTTTAAGCCCAAACTAACCCTTTCTCTTATAGAGCACTAGATAATTATTTAGTAGAGGACATTTAAGCAGCTATTTAAAATTATAATGCCCAGTCCTCCCACAATTTGTTGCCTCTGAGATTGCTGCTGGGATATCCTTTCTCTGTAGAGATTCTTACTGGAAAAATGAACCTTTACTACCACATTCAAACTAATAATTACACATTTATTTTCTTTCAGGTGAAATTGAAGCCAGAGGTCTGATGGGCCCCTTTTCCAAAGAGATCTATGGTCCAATATTGGAGCGAATTAAAGCAGAAGGCATTTTATATACTACACAGAGCACAATCAAATTATAATTGGCAATTAGATTTTTTGTCTTATCTTCCCAGGCAACAGAGTTCTCAACATTTGTGGGACAAACAAGCTTGTTAATATGCTATTTTATAAAGTATAAAACATGATATATTTTGATTAAGACAGTACAGTGGTGTTTTAGAAATATAAATTTCTATTTTAAAATGAAAACATTTGGAATAAGAGATGACAGTAATTAACAGAGAACTTTAATAATACTTCTACCATGTATTTTTCCATATGTTTGTAGAAGTGATTATACTATTTATTAATTTATTGTATCACTTGTCTTATAAGAATATATTTTCCTAGTCAGCAAATGGAATTTTAATGTTTCGGTTAGAAAAAACACCTCATATAGTTATGTCTTAATAGTTTTCAAACCTTTAGATTACATATCTACAAACTTTTACAAAAATACTATTTTATACCTTTTTAAAAGTTATGATGTATTTAGTAAATGACTTTGTAGAAAACTTCTCAAGTGTTCGGCAAAGAGAAGAAATGAGATAAAAATCACAATCTACATGAACCCTTCATTACGTGCATAAAAAGGATTTAACAAAATCCAACATCCTTTCATGATAGAAACACTCAACAAACTAGGAACAAAAGGGCACTTTCTTAACCTCATAAAATATGTCTATGAAAACCCACAGCTGTATCACTTAATGGTGAAAGACTGAATTAGTTTCTCTTAACTTCAGAAACAAGACAAGGATGTCTGTTCTTGTCACTACTATTCAACCTGTACTAGAGGATTGAGGTAGGGCCAGAGGCCAGAGAATAAAATTCCTGTGGATTGGAAAAAAAGAAATAAAATCTTGTTTACAGATAATATGATCTTAGGTATGAAAATCTAAAAGCAATCTATAGTAAATCCAAAGGCATACTCAAAACAAAACACTACAATTAATAAACTTAGCCGGGTGTGGTGGCGCACACCTGTAATTCCAGCACTAGGGAGGCTGAGGCAGGAGGATTGCTGTGAGTTTGAAACCAGCCTGGGCTACATAGTGAGTTCCAGGTCAGTCTCAATTACACAGTGAGACCCTGTCTAAAAAAAAAAACAAAAAGCTAAACAAACAAAAAAACCCACCCAAAAATTAATAAACTCAGCAAAGATACAGAATACAAAAGTGACATACAGTTTTATTGTCTTTCTATAAAATATCAATAAATGAACTAAAAATGATATTCAGAAAAATAATTTCAATAGCTTTAAAAAGAATAAAATAGTAATATAATTGAGAGTCCAGAGATAGCACTTACATTTTGGTTAACTGCTTTTCTAAAAGGGTGCTAAGAAAATTCAGTGGGGAGAAATAATCTTTCTCATCAAATGGTGTTTGGAATATCTACATATAAATAATTAGGGCTGGGGATTTAGGTCAGTGGTTCCACCAGCTGCCTTGCAAGCATAAGAACCTGAGTTTGATCCCCAGTACCAAAAAGAAAATAATTAAATTGGACCCTTACCTCATACTAATATAAAACAACATACAAATATAATAAATATAAAAATGGACTTAATATCTAAATCTTATATTTGCCTAACACTATAAAAATCTTAGAAGAAAATATTATCATATATCTTCATGGCCTTGTATTGTGCAATGATTTCTTAAAGGGCAATAAAAACAAAAGCAGCAAATGAAAGAATTAATTGTACATAATGAAAACTAAAAAATGTTATGCTCCCAAGGTCACTGTCATGAAAACAGAAAGACAACCCACAGACTGAGAAAGCATTTTTATAAATCATGTACCTGGTCTGGGAGGAACATGTATCTATAATATACAAAGAACTGTTAAAACTCAACAATAAAAAGATATATAACCCAACTTTTTTTCTCTCTTTGAGTTTATTGGTACATTTTAGGTATACAGTACAGTTACATTCATCATTGGGATCTTGTACCTTTACATGACAGGTCTTGGTTCTCATTTTTTCCCCTTATCCTTGCCTTCCCTTCACCCGCTCCTCCCTTCCCTATTTCCAAGCACTTTATTTCCATTTTTTCATTTTCTCATATTTTTTTCTTTTCCCTTAATGCCTTTCCCCTACCCTTCCCGCTTTCCCTTACACCTTTAGCCTTTCCTGTTTCCCACTGCATATAACCCAATTTTAAAATGGACAAAAAGATTTTAATTGACAGTTCTCCAAAGACACACAAAAAGTCAATAGACGTGGGAAGATTCCTAACACCATCAACCATCAGGAAACACGAAGCAAACTACAGTGAGGTACACTTTATACCCAGTAGAATGGCTATAATAAAAAATAATAACAAGTGCTAATGAGAATGCAAAAGCATTGAAATTTTCCAACAGGGCTGGTGCATAACCAAGATCAGTGATAGCATGTCTACACAGAAACTTGTACACAAATGTTTATTAGTATCATTATTCACAATAGCCAGAAATTGATGTAACTCAAGTGCTTATTGACAAATAAATGAATAAACAAAATATATTATATCTTTACAATATTATCAAGCAATAAAAAATAAGGGACCAATACATGCTAGAACATAGATGAATGTTACAAACATGCAAAGCGAAAGGAACAAGACACAAAAGACCACCTATTGTATGATTTCACTAATGAAATGCCAGAACAAGCAGATCCGTGTATAAGGAGAGTGGATTAGAGGTTACTTCTGGTTGGGAGTAAATGGATTGATTGCTAAGGAGCGAGCATAGTGTCTCTTTCTGAAGGTAATGAAAATATCGCAGCGTTGATCACAGTAAGGATGGCATGACTCCGTGCTCTATGCTAAAATCCATTGAATTATATACTTCGTGTGAACTGTAAAATATGTGAATTATATCTCAAACTGTTATAAAAATACTGAATTTTAATAGGAATTTGTTGTTTGCTTCCTTGTGGGAAATACCCATGCTTTTAAAGATGTAAATCAATCACCTGTCTGACTTTCACAGACTGTGCTTGTATCCACATGTGTGAAACTGCTTCTGCCTTTGATAGGCAGATTTTATCCATGGAGCGAGTGCATGGCAATCGACAAAACAACTTGGTGCTCTTTGAAAAGAATCGAAACTGTTTAAGGGTTTGGTCTTACCTGTCACAAATAATATAGGGAGATCAATAACCCTTTTTAAAACAAAAAAAGCTCTATTATAGTTTTAAAATATAACACAATTATTTAGAAAATATAGTTTGTCCCATTGTTTCCACCCACAATTTGGAAGCTGCCCCCCGGTTTGCGAGAGTAGCCAGATTGAGTAAAAATGGGGGAACTAGACTCTTGGGGAAAAGGAAATCTGTTGAGCTGTCAGTGTAACTAATGGCTTTGGGCTGTATCCTAAGAATGAGTGATAAACTGTGTTGATCTGATGTCAGTGTTGATGGTGGTGATGTAGAAGGAAATGCCAGTAAACTTGAATAAAACTAGATAAAATCAAATGCTGCACTGGTTCTCAATAAAATTTTTTACTGCAGAAATTTCAGAAATAAAGGTGGTGGTGGTAGTGCATAGGGATAAGTAAGTGAGGTATAGTTATAAGCCTAAGGGTCTACCATGGTTCAGCATTTTTTTTTCTTCTGTAAAGGACCAGATAATAAATATTTTGGGTTTTGCAGTTCAGGGGTGTCACAGATGCTCATTTCTACCTTTGTGATGTGGAGGCAGCCACAGGCAATGTGTGAATGAATGCACATTTCTGTGTTCTAATACAAGTTTATTTGCAAAAACACAATGTGGGTGAACTTGGCTTTCAAGACAAAGTATGGAGCCCTGGTCTAACTTCTGGTAGACTTAATGTTCATAGCTTCCAGATCTTTTCCACCTCTTTTGGCCTCTTCCAGATAATATAAATAAGGTGTTTGTGTTGTCCAAGTTTCCACACTAGAAATAGTGTGATTGGTTGTACAACACAATAGCTGGGTTTTTTTTTCTCCATAAAAGATGAATAACAGTAACTCATAAGATGGTTATAAAGGTTAACATGATAATATAAGAAAAATGCCTGACAATTAGTAGATGCTTAGAGACATTAATATTATTCCCTCTTTTGCAATAACATTTTTGCCTGAAATTTAGTGAAAGCTAATGAGATTTTAGCTTTAGTTTTTTTCCTAATCTATTGGATACCTTTGGAAGATATATATCAAAGATCCATGCTGCTCAAACAAGCCATAGATGCATCAGCTCAGTAACGGCAATGGTAAAGTGGATGTAGAGATGAAAAGACCACACCGATCCTTTGGTTACAGAAGAGAAAAATACTCCTTAGGAAGCTAAATGTTACCTAAGATGTGAAGACTTGATAATTGAAATTTGATTTCTTTTTTCTTTCTCTTTGAGTTTATTGGTACATTTTAGGAATACAGCTTGATTTCTTCAAGGCACCCAAAATACTTGATACAATTTGGGACTTGCCTGATTTACAAACTGCCTCTTAGGACAGTTACTTATTTTGGGGCATAGCCAGGTCATCTGGGACTTTTTTGAGAGTTGAAGATAGCCATTCCTTGCTCAGCACACTTTTCTTTAAAAATCACCCCAAAATATATATACTCTAGCAAAAACAATTTACTACCTCCTGATGGAAAGTTATCATGACAAATATAGAAATCTTCAATACCTGGTAGAATTTATTTCTTCTTAGATGCTGTGTACAATTTACACAGTTATGCAAAATATTACCCTTTATTTTATACAATATTAGATTTTTAAACAGTGAGTTGCATTTTTTTTTTTTTTTGGTACTGGGGATCAAACTCAGGACTTTGCGCTTAGCAAGGCAGGCAGTGGCACCACTGAGCTAAATCCCTGGCCCTCAATAGTTATATTTATTTGTTGACTGCTTGCAAGGTAACCTCATTTAGAAGACCTGAGTTTCATAGAAAGGATCCAATGAGAATACCTGGCTGTTCTGGAGCAATATGTGTCAGTCACAGATAGCGAATACAGTCACTCCCTCTATCCAGTTTCTTTTAACAGTCATTCTTAATTTTTGTTACCTAGCAAGAATTACAAAGCTAGCAAGAAGAGTCCTGAATTGTTAGGTTAAGAGGTTGCAACCCTCCAGTATATTTAGTTTTTATTTTCCTCATTGAGTTTATTGGTACATTTTAGGTATACAATAGTTACATTCATCTTTGGGATCCTGTACCTTTACATGACAGGTCTTGGTTCTCATTTCTTCCCCTTGTCCCTGCCCTCCAGTTTAGTTTATTGGTGTGGTCTGATAGTGCCTTCCTGTTTTATGTTGATTGATAATGTGCACCACCTGATGGGGTGACAAATTCATACACCCTGGGATTCCCACTTCCGGCCGGAGACTCATGAGTCTTCTGTGACACCACTCCCAGTTTTGATTAACTGAAGATTATTCTAGGCTGTTGCCAGGCATGACTACCTAGGCACACTATATTTGGTTCCAATAATCTTGAGTTCATTTCTTCTCAGTCTGGTTCTTGGTGACATTGGCACAGGATGAACAAGCCCTGCACGAATATCCCCTCCATGTATCTTTTCCGTCTCATCTCATGGCTGTTATCTCC